TCTCTCTAATAAATCTGAAAAATAATTACTACTTTCTATACTCACATGTTAAATAACACATATGGGATTCATACCTAGGTCTTTTGTTTCTTTTATTTAAAAAATTATATTGAATTAATATTGAAATTCTTAAGTTAACCAGAATTTATACTTAACCACATTTTCTCAGTTGCATTGTTACTTGCTCCCTTATGCAATAGTGTTGGCTAATTGCAGGTTTCTCATCTGGAAGGTGAGCATGCAGAGATTTCAAAGACCTTTCCTTTCTTTAAAAACATATCCCAATTCTCATTTCTCACTCTTTTAATATTTCTTAAAATTGAATTATCTTCATTGGTAATAGTCAGTGTCTTCACTAGGAAAACTATGTACTTGAATACATTTAGGACATATGTATGGTTTGAGTTTTATGAAGGAAAAATGCAAAATATAGGATTTGGTTTTGTTGTCTTTTTTCTTCTAACTTTTATATATCTATAGAGGATATGTCATTTTTCTGTTGAAAGGCTGCCATTTATCTCAAACCATCAAATTAATTTCACTGCTTTCATCTCTTGCACATAATATGGAAGTCATGAGTGGTGCATACTGGTTCCTAGGAACTCAGCTATGTGAAAGAGCATCTATGCTAGATCTTCATCTGTGTGCAGCTTCTGGATGAAATACATAGATATTTCCTTTTGAAACGGTTACCTATTTTTTCCCTACCATAGGCTTTAGAGCTATCCCTTAATGATTAAAGTAAATGTCTAGATTTAGTTATTTTATGTAACACACTTTCTTTTCCATGCCACAGTATATTTCAAAGCAGGTCTATGTCACAAATAAAATGAATATAGAAAGAAGCCACTGGGTTTATTTAGTACCCTGCAACTGTTCATTTTGTTAATATGTGACATTACAAAAAGGTTTCTTTGATCTTTCAGTAAAACAAACCACATAATTTGTTTCTTGATGTGGATCAATGGCATATTGATTATGCTATGGCATTCATTGGCAGCTGTTTCTGGAGTGGGCGAAATATATACTAAGCTTTCAGGTGCTGAATTGCCACTATTTTAACAGACACCATCAATGATTTCTTACAATGAACATTTGAATCTGACAGATATTAATAAAATTTTTTATGCTCTTTAGAAAAACAAACGAATATAAAAAAGGCTTGGCAAGAAATATGATAAATGCCCATAGTGAAAATCAAAAATCATAAACCACACGATATTACTGTGAGAGCAGACAGCTGAGAGGAAGAAAATGGCATGCAGTGAAAGTTGGTAAAGTAAAAATGAGAATGTAAATACAAATAAGCTGTGCTCAAATGGAAAAAGAAAACATCTCATTTTTCAATGTCAAGTGTGGACCCCTAACCAGATGTGCAACCAGCAATTTTACGCCAAGGGCAAGCACTAAACATTTATTTTATCCAACCCTGTCTGGCACCCTCCTGTCTTCAGGACACCCCTCCTGTGCTGCTCATGCTTTTGCGCTATTTATAATCCATGGGCTTCCTGTGTCAAGTTACCTGGCCTTTTGCGTCAGCAGAGGATTGCAATCACAGCAAAAAATGCTAAGAAGTCATTCTGGGTTGGAGGATGTTCTCAGTATTTCATTCACTGCTGAGTCTTCGGCCTCTGAATTATTTCTAAGGGCTTGCATCATGCCAAGTGGCACCAAATTTTTTTAAAAGTGATTTTATATCTCATAAAATGTCAAGTAGGTAAATATCATTATTGTTTTTACAAAAGTTGGTTTTTGCATTCTAAAACCAATCTAAGTGGCTTCTATGACCTATGCAATTCTAAATTTGAGTACTGGATGTGCCACAAAGCCCACCTCCAGGGCTAGCATGTGGAATTCCATGACGTCACACATTCACTGCTGGTTTTATTCATGCTGAGTGTTTTGGAAGGTCATGAGTATTTTATCTCAGTTCACAGCATGGACCTACCAAACCCATATAAGGAGCATAAATGAACTCAGCCACATTCACAATACAGCTAATGTCTCAGTTTGCACTATTTTCAAATATTTTAAGTAAAATTATTTTTTACTACTTTTATGTAAATCCATGATATTTTGCAAAATAATAAAATTAATAAAAATCATGATGCAAATGAACATAAACTATATTTTTAACATTCGGTACCATGAAAAAAGAGTATCAAATTTGTGTCCGTTAAAATTCTTACTTGCAAGCAATGAAAACTAACTCTGAACATCTTAACAGTTAAAAGATTTATTGGAAGGCAAAAGAATGACATGAAGTTAGAAAATAAGATCTCACAAATTGGACAAAGCTGGATGCAGTGGCTGGCAATAGATATACATTGACCAACATCTGCTGCCACTGGAGGGAGCCACCACTGCCAGATGTGACCCCCATGGCGACATCTATTCTGTCCTTTCCAGTATATGTCTCTCACTCCATAATCTATGGTTGATAGAGTGACTGAGCCCTTCTCACATATATTTGTCTAGCTGTCAAAGGAGAGAGAAAAAGGGAGTCTCCCTCTTAACATTTCACGGTGGTAGGTGAGAAATTTATGACTGGCAGCTAAAAATAACAAATCATCAATGTCTACTACAGCTGCTTAGATTTTGTCTTGAGCCAAACATTCTTCAAATTTTATGAAAAAGTTGAATTATTCCTGCATTCCTTTAGTAGGTTATTGTAAGTTCATTCTCAGAAACAGGACTTATGATGCTGACATCCATTCAAACTGTAGACTCTGAATCTTCCCTATAATCTTGGGCAAATTACTAAATCTATTTCATGCTTTCTTTACCTACAACAATGCCCATATGTTTTATTCTCCTTAAAAAGATTTTATTAAAATCACTGATGATGCTAATTAAAATATAGACATCCTTAAAGAGGGAAGGTTCAATATTTTAGTCAACATTTTATTTTGCTGCTATATGTACAATCAGTCCAGCTGACTTTATAGAATTCCTATTTAATTGCATTAGTAGAAAATCTAAAGTGTAATATGCCTGTATGTGTCCATATTTCCTCTATAAATGGGACACAAGAGGCATTTGTGCTGAAAGACGTGTGGCCACTAAATGCATAGTTTCATATAACTTGTATAGCTTTTCAACAGTGAGGAATGTGTCCTACCATGAGAATACCCATACTTTTACATGGAATAAAATGACTCTGGTTTTCCATTTCCTTGAAAAAAATGCATTATGAGATAACTGGAGGCTGACATATTTGCATTTGAAAACAAGCCTCCATTGAAAACTAGGAATGGGAAATTATTCCTGGTGACCTTTCCCATCTCTCTTTGCTTCTTGGGCAAGTCCATGAACGATCAGAGGAAAAGTTTCAGAGATGCCTATGTTAAGAACCTTCTTTTAATATTAACCTTTCCTCTATGCACCACATTGTAGTGGGAGTCCTGGGAAGGGTGTCATTGTGCTCTCATGTACAGGAGTCAACCCTGTAATAAAAATCAAACCAGTGTTCATAACAAGCAGGGCCCTCTGTGAATTACCTTAGATCAGCGGTTCGCCACCCCTTTGGGGGTCGAATGACCCTTTCACAGGGGTCGCCTAAGAACATCGGAAAACACATATATAATTACATATTGTTTTGTGATTAATCACTATGCTTTAATTATGTTCAATTTGTAACAATGAAAATACATCCTGCATTGCAGATATTTACATGACGATTCATAACAGTAGCAAAATTACAGTTATGAAGTAGCAACAAAAATAATTTTGTGGTTGGGGATCACTACAACATGAGGAATTGTATCAAAGGGTCATGGCATTAGGAAGGTTGAGAACCACTGCCTTAGATAAAGCATCTGTAACGCTTATAAGGTAAAGTAAGCGAATTTCTAAGGAACAGAGAGGAGATTAGGACAATCTAGTGTTGCAACCAATTAGCATTTTCTTTCAATTTCAGTGAAAATGATTTGAGCAGATTACCTCCTGTGAGATTTATTTTTAAGATTAAAATTATTGATTTTTCACACTACCTCATCAGTGTTATTTAGAAAAGTCTCATCTGATAATAAGGCCTTGCCTACATTATGCCAAATACTCAGATGCAAGCTGATCATTAGCCGGATAGCTGATTTCATGAAAACATCTGGATACTTGACTGAGATTTTCAAAGAATTTTACACAGATATTTGCAATACTAAAAGATGTAACAGTAACTTCATACGAAATAAGAATTCTGCTGCTACACATTGAATATGTTGATAATAAAGTCTATTGTTGTTTGTACACCACCTCGAATGCAAAGTGGTATCTTTTTGAAGATAATTACTGAAAACAGTATTTTAAAATTCAACATATCAAAACACCAAACTATATAATATAAATCCTTCTTCTTTCTAAAAACACTAGTGGTTATTTTTTTTTCTGGAAGTGATAACCTTGATTTTGGTAAACTTCCTAAGTCCAAGCACATAAGCATGTATGTGAAATCACGGAAACACAATGTTGTACACTGCCACCTCATTTTGATTTTACTGGGCTCTGATCACATGTCATATTTTAATTGAATTTGGATTACATGGAATCTGGAAGAAGTAACTGAGATATAATGGCATGCCGCAAACCATAGGTGCTTCATATATTTTAGTTCCATGTATTTATCACTTAAAGGGCCCTTATTTTAGCTGAGGTCAAATGTGGAAAACTTATTCACATAATTCAGTACATTTAATATCATCTTTCCCTGACAGTAATTTTAAAATACCATAACATAAATTATATCTACAATATTCCATTTTAAAACCATTTATTCATTTTCTATTTATATGGGACACATTATTATTTTTCAAACCCACAGAAAACTGAAGTCAACTGAGATAGAGGAGAAAGAAGAATGTTGAGCTGGAGAAACTTAGGATGGAGATGGGAGTAGCTCCCCTCTCTAGTCCAGTAAAAAAATACGTTCCTGGTCATACTTAATGAATTTCCTGTCATAACTTAATTTGTTATCATGGCATCTATGAATATCTGGGGGTCATTACCTGAGTGGTGTGACTCTCTCTATGTCTCTGAAATGTTGAGGTCGCTGTCCCACTCACAGACAACCTGGAGAATCCCTCTTCTTCAGGTAAACCTATGGAAGTCAACACAAAATAGTTAAGTTGTGTGTCCTTTCTCTGAATAAAATAAGTTGTGTACTTACTGTAAGAAAATAAAATTGTTATATTTTATAGATTGAAATAATCATCAGTTAAATACTAATTGAATAATAAAATTTTTATAAGAAAATATAGAAAAACAAAGTATTGCTGCATTTCCATTTAATACAAGAAAACATATACTAGCAAGAGAAATACAATGATAATGAAGAAATATGTTATCAGAGCACAAAAGTGAACAAAATTCAGCAAAGAAGTATTGGAGGGGAGAAGGGAAACTTTTCTATGAACTGAAAATTGTTTGATAGAACATCAATGGGGGAAAGAGAAGTATATGGACAGTGGAAAGTAGATGAGTTCCTTGAGTTGATAAAGGAGACAGAGTTTATATTTCATTTGTGCGGTAGCAGGGATGAAAAGAAGGGATTAGAAGATATATAAGACACAACCAAGTATCAGATGAATTCCATAGACTATAGTTTCTTTTACATACAAATGGAGGGAAGAGATTGGGTGGAATTCTATGAGGAAAAGGTCAGGGTAGCTGCTCATCCATAACAGACCAAATTGTAACCACCTATATAAAATGAAGGGTGGATTTGAGAAAATCAACACACTCCCCCCCCCCCAAGTAATATAGAAGTATCTATGAGGCACCAAAGGATTTTATTAATTATACTTTATTATAGAAGCATAACTGCTGACACTTTGGGTGATATAATTCTCTGCTGTGGTGCTGACCTGTGCATCATGGGATATTAGCAGCATCTCTGGTCTCTACCTAAATGTCAGTAGTACCTCCCCAGTGTGACAACCAAAAATGTCCCCAGAAATTGCCAAACATCCCAGGGAAGCAAAATCATCCCTGGCTGAGAACCATCCTGAAAGAGGGATCAATATAATCACAAGTGACTCATTAATGAAAATGAATAGATTAAAAAAGTAACTACCCAATGGAATGAGTTCAACCCAAAGAACTTCAAATTCTGAAGTGATTGCTACTCTTATCTGAAATCATAATTAGTCGTAAGGTGTAATTGATTAAACATATACATGATTCCCACATTAAAATCATTAGAAACTCAAGGCATACTTTTTCCAATTTCAGGAGAGTTAGTTGCTCAGGGAAGTCCACAAAATCCTATCATCACATAGCAAAACTTCCCAACTGATCTTCCCGTTCTATATACAAATACTCTGAATGCAAAGGTTAGCTTCATTGAGACTGAACAGACTAGGGCCAGCACCTGGAAACTGACACACCTATATGCTGGGGTCCAACCCCAGCAGGCCCAGGGGTCCCCAAAGGTGTGGACAGAGTCGGTGAAGAAGGAATGACACGAAGACAGTGTTCAGTTGATCAGCAGCCTATCCAGGATCTCTAGCCAGGATCTCCAGCCAAGTTCTGGTCTGGATCTCCAGCGAAGTTCTGGTTTGGATCTCCAGCCAGGTTCTGTGTTCATGTTCTCTTGCTAGGTTCTCCAGGTTCTCCAGCCAGGTTCTGTAGCCATGTTCCCTCGCTAGGTTCTCCAGCCAGGTTCAGTCACCAGGTTCTAGTCAGGTTCTCATGCCAATTTCTGTAGTCAGGTTCAGTCCAGGATCTTTTGCCATGTTCTATCTCTAGCGAAGTTCTTCTGTCTCTAGGTTCTGTGTAGGTTCTGTCTTCTTGGTTCTGTCTTCTAAGTTCTGTGTTCTAAGTTCTGTCTCTTGCTGTCTTGTTACATCTGTATTTATACCAGTTGATTCAATCCTATCAATCTCTATTACAAAGGTTAGGGCGTTTCTTATCTCCATTCCAGGGAGTAAAGATTATGTAGCTTAAGCATGATTGTTCGTAGTTAAAGTGATTAATTACCCGCCTGGCACTTAGTTGAGGGGTTTTATTCCCTCCCTAACTTCAGGGGGAAATCCCTACCTGGGGAAACAACCTTTCTCAGAGAGGAGACCTTGGTTAAAACACATAGTGCCAAGAAGGTGAGCAAACATATTAAGAACAGTATGCCATATATGCCAGGTCCTTTGAAACAGCAAGGATGGACCGGCTTCCGGCACCTATTGATGGGGGGGTCATTGCTGGAGACTGGGTCCCACCATATAGTAATAGCAATGTCTCCAGTTGACTAGGGAAATACTGTAGTAGAGACCATGATAGCAGGTATGGGAAAGCAGTGTTAGAGCGATCTGGAATCTAAATAGGGGGAAGGAGCATGGAAATCTAAGTTAGAGCACAAGTTGAAATTTCAGGCAACTAGATCAGCAGATAGTTGGCAACATGCCCAGGGAGCAGGGCACAATAAAGGATTTGGGACTCATGTGAAGGAGGGTGTCAAAGGTGAGGGCACAAAAGGTAGGTTGACAAGCAAGTCAAATGTCTACTTAGAGAACATGGTTCACTGGATGTCTTACTGAAACTAAGAATCTAAGGCAGGAGAAGAACATTGTAATCCATTTTTCAAAACTAAATTATAAGTTAGAAGTTTACTCTATGAATCAAAGCAGAAACTCTGTTTATTGAGGATACACACTCAAAGCCAAACCCATAGCATAACATTTTATATAGTATCAATTAAATAAAGTTAAGACATATTTATGATCAGCCTCTGAATAAGGCACTGGAAAATACAATGAAGAATAAAGAAACACCTCTACTCTTGAGGAGCTCAAGTTTAACAGGAAAGACCCTTAGCCAGGCTACACAACAGAACGACTTAAGAGGTAAGTAGGAGTACAGGTGACTCTGAGCAGAATCTTGGGGAAAGCAGGGATTAATTCTAACTAAAAGGATTAGAGGAAACGTGATGGTGGAGATACCGAAAGATCTGGCCTTCTAGGATGGCGAGGATTGAGCAAAACAAGTGAGATGAGGCAATGAAATAGGAGAAGACTGATCCACATCTGGGGGAGCGGTCTGTAAGAACTGCATATAATATTGAATGTCAAGTGTAACAAACAAACAAACAAAAAATAAATAAATAAATAAATAAATAAATAAATAAATAATAAATAAATAAATAAAGCATACATGAGAGTATGGCCAGAGGAGGAAACCTGGAGGATGTGCTAGAAGGTAGAGCAGGTCAGATGTTAAAGTTACATAACATTTCACAGAAATTTGATAGTATTTTATCAGTAATGGGTAGAATTGCAGATTTCTCAGAGGGGCTGTGACACCATTTTACCAAAGTTGTACGTTAAAAGGCATTTCTTACCTGTTGACTAAAGAAATCCTTGACCTCAGAACCTGTGGCAGGTTAACTGGACAGGGACGATGGTTTCAGTTTGAGCAAGGTGCATATGTGGGAACAAAGAGCCAGGTGATGACAGAGGGTGAGTGAGGGAGAAGGGAGGGTGCCAGGGAACTCGGTGTGAATGGTCTCCTCCTGATAAAGGAGGAATGAGGAGGGTATAAGGAAGAGTCCTGTGGAGTGGAGGGAATCCTTGACACTTGTAGCACAGAGAAACTCATGGCTAATATACTAAGCGAGTGTGAACTATATAAAGTAAAGTAATAGTTGGGAACTATTGAGATGTAAAGGAGGTCAGAGGGCAGGACTTTTTCTTTTTAACCAAGGTAATATTTTATGTTGCTGCAATATTGAAAGCAGTACTTCTTTAAGGCAAATTATCCAAAAATGACACCAAAGGCACAAACCATGAAGGAAAAAAAAAAGGATGAATGCTTTCATTTAAACATTAACAATAAATGTGTTAAAAATATAAAATAAATGCAAATTTTAAAGAACAATATAGAACATTCAAATACACTAAATAAAAGGCTTAATTTTTCTTAAAGCATCCTACAAGTCAAAATAAAGGCCTTATCCTCAGATTTTAAATATGGGCAAAGAATCTGTATAGAAAATTTAAGTGAATATACATGACCACTAAATAATAAACCTGCTCATTTTCATTAAGTGCAAAGAAATGCATATAAGACTACAGTAACTTACCCATTTTACCTATCAAGATAGCAAATATTTCAAAACTTTTTGTTACATAATATTCACAAACCCATAAAAGGACGGAGAATATGTAGTGAAATTCCACTTATTCAACATCAAGCTTTGGAATTTTCATTATTTTAATCTTGTTTCATCTACTCATTATCTTTTTAGAAAATATTTCCAGAAATTTAAAAATTTTCCAAAATCATTTCATATGTAAATTCTTGAGCATGTGTCCCTAACTGATAAGGATAGTTTTGTGTGTGTGTGTGTGTGTGTGTGTGTGTGTGTGTGTGTGTTTTATTCTGACATTGTGAGAATTTCCTCATGCATCTAAGAATGCATGAGGCTCTAGAAAAGCCCCAAAGTCTTGGGGGTAGAAAATTCAACTGTGTGTTCCCACAGGGTTGCAATGTCAGTGTTGGGGGGGAGGGCATTTACGGTTAACCTAGAGCCACCGACTTGTTGACTTCCATTGGTAGGTAGGTTTCCACCCCAGAATGATTGCTCGCACTAATCTACACAATGGAATACTACGCTGCTGTAAAAAAGAAGGAGTTCTTACCATTTGCAACAGCATGGATGGAACTGGAGAACATTATGCTAAGTGAAATAAGCCAGTCAGAGAAAGATAAATATCACATGATCTCACTCATTTGTGGAATATAATGAACAACATAAACTGATGAACAAAAACAGATCCAGAGACAGAGAAGCATCGATCAGACCGTCAAACCTCAGAGGGAAGGTAGGGGAGGGTGTGGGTAAGGAAGAGAGATCAACCAAAGGACTTATATGCAAGCATAAAGGCCTAACCAATGGACACAGATAACAGGGGGGTGAGGGCATGAGCGGGGAGGATGGGGGGTAGTGTGGGGATAAGACACATATGTAATAACTTAATCAATAAATAAATTTTTTTAAAAAAAGAACTTGCTCTGGTTGTCTCAAGGCTACAACCTTTTCCCCAGCCCCGGCTCTCAAATGATACTTTTCCAGTTTAAACAGTGCTATGCCCCTTCTTCAACATA